ATGTGTCCTGGTGTCACCGGGCTGGAGCCGGTTGTTGCGGCTGCCGTGGCAGAGGCGGTGACTGGGTTCAGTGATTTCGGGTGCCGGTGGCTCAGCAGGAGGAACCTGCTCCCCGTGGGATGCCCGCTCCCTGGGGATGGTGCCCGGGCTGCTGCTTTAACCAGAGGGGCTGGATAGGGATGGTTCCGGAGCAGCAGCCGCAGCCTGGGGGGGTCCGGGGTCACCCCCCTGCCCGCAGCATCCAGCCGGCAGAGCGCGGCAGTGCCGGCAGCGCCGCTGTGTCTCTGCAGGGAGCGGCCCTGAAGTTCCTGCCCTCCATTCTTGAGGACGTGTGTGGGATCCTCGACTCCTCCGTGCTGGGGTAGGGTCCTCATCACCCCCGTCACCCCCAACCTGCCGCAGCCGCGCCTGCCCCATCCCCTGTGGTGACCCCGCACCCTGGGAGCTGCCGGCGGGGACGCAGCCTGGTGCCCTTCAGTGCAAACCCTCCTGGGCTCGGGCTGCTCTGCGAGGTGGGGCAGCTCAGCCGTGGAACAGCCTCGTCCCAGCCGCGGCACGGGGACAGCCGGTCCCGGCCCCCGGCGCTCGGGAAAGCCGCCGGCAGCCGCGGGTCCCACACGCTCCTCCGCAGGGCGCTGCTGCGGGACTTCATTGGGAACCTGCCACCGCAGCGGCTGCTGAGGCACAAGCTGCAGTCCCTGAGCGACATCGTCCACAGCAAAGCCTTCCAGTCCTACGGTGAGAGGGGAACCGGGGGGGCGGGTGCTGAGCCTCTGGGAAGGCCATGGAATGGGATGGAATGGGGACGAGTCCCTGCCTCAGTGACCCTCCTCTACCTGCGGTGCCCAGGTGGCTCTGCTGGGAGGGACACAATGCCCAGACCCCCACCGGGTGCACCCAGGGCTATGGAGTGAACCATGGAGCTGCTGCGAAGGCTGGAGCAGCTCTGCTCTGGAGCCAGGCTGGGAGAGCTGGGCTGGGGCAGCCTGGAGAAGGCTCCTGAAGGAGAGACCTCAGAGCAGCTCCAGTGCCTAAAGGGCTGCAGGAAAGCTGGAGGGGGGCTTGGGACAAGGGCCTGTAGGGACAGGCCAAGGCGAATGGCTTTAAGCTGCCAGAGGGGAGACTGAGATGAGCTCTTAGGCAGAAGCTCTTCCCTAGGAGGGTGCAGAGCAGCTGCGGCTGTCCCATCCCTGGCAGTGTTCAAGGCCAGGTTGGACACAGGAGCTTGGAGCAAGCTGCTCTAGGGGAGGGGGTCCCTGCCTGTGGCAGGGGTTGGGGCTGGGTGAGCTTTAAGCTCCTTTCAATACAAACCAGTCTGTGGTTCTGTGATAAACAGTGTAAGGTGCTGGGAGCCTTAATGGTCCCTTGCTGCCTCTGAGGACAAGGTCACAGTCCCAGGGACCTCTGGAGTACAGGGTAGGATGCAGTGGGATGAGCAGGTTTTTCATGGATTCAGCAGCAGAAGCCCTGGTTTGCCCAGCTGCTGCCCGGCTTAAAGTCTCCCAGCTTAAAGTCTCCCAGCTTAAAGAGTCTCCCAGCTGAAGGAGCCTCTGTCTGTCCAATCTGAAGCACCTTCAGCAGAGCAGGGCAGCAGAACCAGGTCCACTGTGGAGCTGAAGCAAACCAGATTGAGGCTTTTTCTGTTGACTTGCCTTTGGCTGTGTATCGGGGCAGCAGATTCCCTCCCTGGAGCTTTCTTGACAGGACTCAATGTTGCTCCAAAACCCACTCCATGGAGGGGGAAGGTGACTGCTCCGTGCAGGGGAGTTGCAGCCCAGTGCAGACGTTGTGCTGGTCCCATCCATCCTGCTGGTCCCTGCCCTGCCCAGTGCTCCCGGTGCTCCTGGTGCTGGCAGCCACCATCCTGGCACCTCCGTGTCGCCCGCAGGTTGCCGGGAGCTGCTGCTGCAGGCGGCCGTGCCGCTGCTGCAGGACCTGGTGGCAAAGGGGGAGGAGGAGGAGGCCTGCATCGAGCTGCTCAGCAGCATCCTGGAGGTGCTGTACGAGGCCCAGAAGGTAAATCCCATCCCCTCGGCTCCTCCTTTCCCTCTCCAGTCATCACCTTGCAGCGACCTGAAAACCCCCTTTGAGAAAGGTTAAGCATGAGCTACTGGCCATGATATGGTTGGGGCTGGTTTTGGTCACCTAAAGTCAAATGGGGCTGTTGGTGGCCACTGTCCCACTGGGAACCTGCCCACGATGGGGGGAAAACCCGTTTGATTTCCACCTCAGGTGCTCTCCAAAGAGCTCCCAAGCAATGGGGGAAGTGCAGAAGGTTCCTCCAAGCCCAGGGCCAGAGGATCAGGCGCTGCAGCACCAACTGTGCCTCTCACTGTCCCTGCCCTGCACACCAGGAGGATGGTGAGGGCAGGGAGAAGGTCCCTGGGCACCACTGCGCTCCAGAGTCAGCAGTGACAGACCTAAATGTGCTCCATGAGCAGGGAGCAGACCATGCCCCAGAGCCCCTGCCCAGTGCCAAAGGGACAAATCCTGCTGCCCCAGGCACGGCGCTGCTGTGGGTGTCTGACCGCCCAGATGTGACCCATCCTCGATGCCTCCCATGGGCCAGGACTGTCTGTGCTGGCACCAGCCCCACATCCAGGGATCTGTTCATTGCAGAGAGCGGAGGAGCTGGAGACGCAACCCGGCACAGGCAAGGAGCGGCATCAGGAGCTGGTGAGTGCTGTGCTTGGCTTCAGTGCTTGACACATGGTGTGAGGTGTCAGGAAGGGTTGATCTGCATCCCACTACAGTGACAAACCCACATGGTCACCCAGAGCCAGAGCTGATGCAGTGATGCTGCAGGGATGCTGCAGTGTGGGACCAGCAGGGCTGGGGCCCACAGGGCTCTGTGCTTACTGGGATCCCCCAGCACCCTGTCCTGCCCTGAGGGGGGTCTGGACCCACACCTTCACCCAGGCCCCATGGACTTGGTGCTGTGTTGTGCACCTTCAGGTGCCTGGGAGAGGAGCGGGTGCTGGAGCACACCCGGGTGCTCGAGGCACATGTATGTGGTTGTGGTCCTGGAGCAGGTCTGGCAGAGCAGGGCCAGGGATGAAGATTGCTTTTGTTAGAACACAGGAAGGATAAGGCAGCACTGGGGGATGCTGGGTTATGTCACTGCAGTGCCAGGCTGATGTACCAGGGTACCAGGGGTGTTCACACCTCAGTAGCCATCCCCCTTGCCCCATGTTTAGATTGGATATAAGGAAGAAGTTCTTTACTGTGAGGGTGGTGAGGCACTGGAATGGGTTGCCCAGGGAGGTTGTGAATGCTCCATCCCTGGTGGTGTTCAAAGCCAGGTTGGACAGAGCCTTGGGTGGCGTGGTTTAGTGTGATGTGTCCCTGCCCATTGCAGGGGGGTTGGAACTTGGTGATCTTAAGGTCCCTTCCAACCCTATTCCATGATTCTATGTTGCCTGGGTGCTCCCTCCACCCCAGGCCTATCTACAGCTACCCGCTGTCTTCCGGAGGCAGCAGTAACTGCCCTGCACACGCGGCCGGTGCCCCCAGCCCCGGGACCGCAGGAGCCGTGTGCCGGTGGCGCGGTTCCCATCAGCCCTGTGCCGATGCCGCCGCCCGTCCGCTCCCTCCCTCCCCGCCCCGCGGCCTCAGGCGCGGCCCCGACGCCCATTCCCTCGCAGGTGCGGGTGAAGCAGCACGTCCGGCTGGTCCTGGAGCGCCTCCTGCACCCCGTCACCCGCAGGGTGATCGTCCTGGACCGGGAGAGCTCCCTGCGGGTGAGTGCCGCGCCCCGGGGCTGCTGCCTGCGCGGGATGGGGCAGCTGCGGAGGGCTCCTGTGCCCAGCGCCGCAGCCCCGGGTCCCGCTGCCTGCGGGGGTGTGGGGGGGTGGACGCGGCAGGATGAGGGAGGGAAGGGGAGCAGCGCCGGGAGCAGCTCTGGAGCGGGGGGGGCATTGGGAGGAGCAGGCAGTGCCCCTTTTGGGAAGCAGAGGAGGGCTTCGGGCTGTGCTCTATAGGAAACAGGCGACTGGAGCCGGTGAACAGTCACAGGTTCATGTGCCAAGATCACACGGGAGGAGCGGGGACACCTCGTGGAGGGGTGGGCAGGTCAGAGCTCTGCTCGGCCCCGGCTTCCAGCACCGACCCAGCACGAAGGAGGGGACCGGAGCTGTGGCCAGGGTGGCTCCACGGGCACCGATGGGACGTGGGGCAGAGCTGCTCCGGGACACGAGGAGCCGCGTCCCGTGCTCCGGGAGCCCGGAGGGAGCGATGGGGTTGGGCAGCAGCGGGGAACCGCCGTGCCGTGGGGAAGCTCCGTGCCGTGGGGAAGCGCTGTGCCGTGGTGAAGGGCTTTGCCGTCGAGAAGTGCAGTGCCGTGGGGAATTGCTGTGCCATGGGGAAGTACCGTGCCATGGGGAAGTACCGTGCCATGGGGAAGTACCGTGCCGTGGGGCAGTGCTGTGCCGCGGAGAAGCGCCGCGCTGTGCTATGCTGTGCTGTGCTGTGTTGTGCTGTGGCCGGGGAGGCGCTGGACGTCCGGAGCAGCATCTCAGCCGTTTGCCTTGAGCCTTGCCGAGCTAAGGCTGCAGTTTGCCATCCTGCTTTGTCCTTGTCCCTGAAGACCCGACTGACGGGGGTGCAGCAGCGGGATGGAAGCTCTTCCCCCACAGCCCACCCTCCCTGCGGGGGGTTGGGAACAGGTCTCACAGGGACCATTGTCCTGGTGCAGCCTCAGTGCCTGTGGTTACTGCGGGCTGCCCGAATACGGGGGGCAGCCCCTGCTCTGGGGCACGGGGATGGGCACCGGGAACACTGTGGCTGTTGGTGGCACTTGGGGAGCCCCAGTCCTGGGGCTGGGTGAGCGCTGCAGGGGAAGAGCCCCGAGCCCCATCCTCATCCTCAGCCCCATCCTCATCCTCACCCAGAACAGAAGCACACAGTGGAGAGGATGTAACAAAAATAGCGTCCCCGTGGGATTTATTGAGTTCCCATCACACACCGGCCCCGGCCCCTTGCCCTGGTGCCACACCAGGTCACACACCCAGTTTACAGACCTGGTTGGTTCCACAGGGGCTTCATTGCTCTGAACCAAGGGTTAGAAATAGAAAAGCTGGTGCTACCAAACCCTGCTGGAGCAGGGGGGGACAGGGCAGGCCTCAGGGCTGGGCCGTGCCCGCTCACAAGAACCAGAAGCATTTCCGCCGGTGTTTCTTGGGGTCCATCTTCATGGGCGGCCTCAGCCCCGGTGATGGCTCCTGGCGCGGTGGCACCGCGGTGCCCACCACAGCCTCCGGGGAGCCGGGGGCCACGTCCCCATCCATATGGCTCAGCACGCGCTGGAAGCGGCCCTCCTGCTGCCGGAAATCGTGCTCCACGCTGCAGGAATGGGGGGAGCAGGGTCAGTGTCCCCGCATGGACATCTCCATGAGCCTGTGCCCCACTGCCACCTCCCTCCCTGCATCCCCCCCATGCTCAGCCCCACGCACGTTGCCAGGGCACGTCCCTGGGAGCCCCACTGCGCTCCCAGGGTTGCTGGGATGCATGGGGTAGGGGGTGCAGGACCCATCCTGCTGCAGCGCTGCTGGCCTGTGGCTGTTGGGAATGGCTGAACCCACGTGAAGGGGCCTCGCACGGGAGCAGCCACTGGTGGGAGCCTGGGGAGCAGAGTGCCCCTAGGGGAGTTTTTATCATGGAACCATGGAATGGTTACAGCTGGAAGGGACCTTAAAGCTCCTCCAGCTCCAACCCCTGCCACGGGCAGGGACACCTTCCACTAGAGCAGCTTGCTCCAAGCCCCTGTGTCCAGACTGGCCTTGGACACTGCCAGGGATGGGGCAGCCACAGCTTCTCTGGGCATTTAGAGTGAAGGAGCTCTGGTGAGGAGATGGAACAGGGACCAGCACAGCCAAGCTCAAGAGAAAGGCAGAGCACAGCCAAGCTCAAGAGAAAGGCAGAGGCAGCGCCAGGCTCTGAGGATGGATGAGGAAGAAGGTGCAGGAGGGCAGCTGAGGGTGGCTGACCCCGAAAGCCGCCCTGTACCAGGTCAGGAGCTGTTTGTCCTGGCAGGAGGGACCTCTGGATGCTCTGGCACAGGAGGTGCCACACATCCAGCAGCAGACCCCAATGCGCAGCAGGACGGCTGCTTGCAATGGGTGACAGGCAGAAGCTGCCTGCAGGACATGGCAGCAGGATGTCCCTTTGCAGAGGCACATGGTGACCCCAGGAACCCTGCCCCAGAACCCCCCGTGTGCTGGGCTGCACCCCGAGAGCATGAGCAGCAGCTCAGGGAGGGGATCCTGCCCCTCTGCTGTGCTCTGGGGAGACCCCCCCCCACAGTCCTGATCCAGCTCTGGGGCATGCGAGGGCTGTGCTGCTGCCCATCAATCCCTGCACTGGGGATGCAAGGAACCAGGTGCCCTGGCTCTGTCTGGGTAGGGGAAGCTGGGGCTGTGCCCCCACTGCAGCCCTGAGGCTTCCTGAGGGTGCCGGAGCCCCCCGGTATTCCCACAGCCTTGCTGGCTGTGGCGCGCTGCTTCCCCATGGGCCGCTGGGATCTCCTGCCAGCACATCCCATGGGATGAGGAGTGCTGCAGGATGTGACGGCTCCGCACATGGGGAGCGTCTGTCACCTCCTGTCACCTCCCCTGCGGGACAGCGGCTGTCCCCAGCTGCTCCCAGCGGGAAGGACGAGTTGTGGCACAGTCCCATGGGGAGGGGGCGGTGCGGAGGACCCCAGCTCCCCAGCACGCAGTGCAGGGCTCATGGCTGCGATGGAGGTGCTTGGCTTGTGAGTACCCCTGGGATGGGACATGGGCAGGCAGGGCTGTACCCCCCCGTGGGTCACCCCTGGGTGCTGCCCCAGCTCCGGGCACCCAATGCCCAGGATTGCTGTGCCTCCACTGCCCACGTCCCACCAGAGCCTCTCCTCGCTCACGGCAGCACAGCCCAGAGCAGCCCCAGCAGGGACTGGCCATCACAGGGGGCCACCTCCGGGGATGTGACATCCTTGCACGGCTCCGCTGTGCGCAGACCAGGCAGGGCCCATTGGCACCCACAGCCCTGTGAGCTGCACCAGGGAAGCTCGTGGTGTAAACAGGAGGAGAACGAGAACTGAGGCAGCACCCGAGGGTGCGCAGGGGCTGCACCCTCACCCGTTCCCCATTGGTAGAATGGCCCTTTTCCAGCGGAGAAGTCTCCCGTGGCCTGACCTAGAGCAGAGCCAAAGCCCCAGCGAGCAGCAGGAACCCCCTGTGTGACCAACAACCAACTGCAGCAACTCCCCTGCCAGCTGCAGCCTGGCAGCTCCCACCCTGGGAACCACCCCATCTCCTGGGAGCGGGAGCTGCAGAGACAAAGGGACCAGGCTCAGAGCAAGCACAAGCAGGGCTCTGCTCTGAAGGAGCTGGCTGCAGCCGTGAGGTGCCCGCACCCACATGGACACAGCCATGTGCCACAGGAACAGATGCTCCCCACGTGCTCCTGCACCTTTTCCCTTTGAGGTCCCTGCAATGGCCTTTGCCAGGGTCAGGACCCGGCTCAGGAGGTCTCCGCTGACCCCACGCAGCCGGGTTTGTGTCCTAGGGTGCTGGAGGTGTTTCTGGCACAAAGGAGGGACAACAGGGAAAGCTGTGCCTGTGTTAGTGCCATGTCCCCTTGGGTGTGGACAGGGTGAGACCCCGCAGCCCCTCACGACCACAGGCACAGAAGATGGGCACAGGCAGGTCCCCTCCCTCCCCAGCAGCGTCCCCCCCGTACGTCTATCCCGGAGCCCCAGCAGGAGCCTGCGGGACGCAGGAGAGCAGGGATGCCCCGGGAATGGGCAGGGAGCCGGGGCGGGCTCGTACCTGTAGATGATGCAGGCGCAGTCCCGGCAGGTGCCGCAGTTGGCGATGTCTTGCCCTGTCCGGTACGAGTGTCGCCTGCGGCAGAGCAGAGGCGCTGTGAGCCCGGAGAGCTGCCCTGCAGCAGCCAGGAGCCGGGACTGGCACCCCTGATCCAGGCTCCTCTCCTCCCTGATCCCGGCTCCTCTCCTCCCTGATCCCGGCTCCTCTCCTCCCTGATCCCGGCTCCTCTCTCCCTGATCCCGGCTCCTCTCCTCCCTGATCCCGGCTCCTCTCTCCCTGATCCCGGCTCCTCTCCTCCCTGATCCCGGCTCCTTTCCTTCCTGATCCCAGCTCCTCTCCTCCCTGATCCCGGCTCATTTCCTCCCTGATCCCAGCTCCTCTCCTCTCTGATCCCGGCTCCTTTCCTCCCTGATCCCAGCTCCTCTCCTCCCTGATCCTGGCTCCTCTCCTCCCTGGATCCCGGCTCCTCTCCTCCCTGATCCTCTCCTCCCTGATCCCGGCTCCTCTCCTCCCTGATCCCGGCTCCTCTCCTCCCTGATTCTGGCTCCTCTCTTCCCTGATCCCGGCTCCTCTCCTCCCTGGATCCCGGCTCCTCTCCTCCTGTGATGCTGGTTAGTGCCAGGCCGAACGAGGTGGTGCCTCAGCAGACATGAGCAGGGCGGAAGCCCTGAATCTTTCACGCTGTGTCTGCCTTTCATCCCCATCCCAGAGCTGTGCTTTGTGCCACAGCCCCCCCAGGTCACTGTGTGTGTCCCACACATGGCACTAGGGCAGGAGCGGGGGCACTGGCAGCAAAGCAGTGCTCTGACAGATGGGCAGAGGCTCATCCGAGCCCACACCACACCCGGGGTTTATATCTTTTTGATGCTTTTGGACTGGAGAAGTATTCACGGAAAGACACAGGACTCAGATGAAGGCAAAGCTCTCTCCTGTGGTGCCCAACTGCTCTGGAGCCAGGCTGAGAGAGCTGGGCTGGGTCAGCCTGGAGAAGAGAAGGCTCCTGAAGGGGAGACCTGAGAGCAGCTCCAGTGCCTAAAGGGGCTGCAGGAAAGCTGGAGAGGGGCTTGGGACAAGCGCCTGTAGGGACAGGCCAAGGGGAATGGCTTTAACCTGCCCGAGGGGAGACTGAGATGAGCTCTGAGGCAGAAGCTCTTCCCTGTGAGGGTGCTGAGGCACTGGCACAGGGTGCCCAGAGAAGCTGTGGCTGCCCCATCCCTGGCAGTGCTCAAGGCCAGGTTGGGCACAGGGGCTTGGAGCAAGCTGCTCTAGTGGAAGGGGTCCCTGCCTGTGGCAGGGTTTAGAGCTGGAGGAGCTTTAAGGCCCCTTCAACCCAAACCAGTCATACTCTGATTCTATGATAAGGTTGCTGTGAAATGCTTTTGGTCACCTCTGCAGGCTCCATCCCCCCTCCTGGGCAGAGCAGGCTGCAGTTTTTTGGGGGACAGTTGAGAATCACCCCCTGTCTCACATTGTAGTCACATTTTCCTGTTAGTCTTCCTCCTGTTCCTTGACCTTGATCATGTTCTCAGCCCTCAGGAACTAGGTCTTAATGCACCAAATTGTTTTACATTGGGGATTTCCCTGTTAGCACATAAATTAGATCATGATTATATATATATACACATGGTGCATAAATATATGGGTGCGTAGGGATATCCAATGCACAGCCTGCACCTCGCCCAGGAGGAGTGAATTGCGGGATAGGGGTTCGGGGTGGGATGCTGCTGGCAGTAGGTGCCAGCAACCTGCTCTAGTGGAAGGTGTCCCTGCCCTTGGCAGGGGGCTGGAGCTGGAGGAGCTTTAAGGCCCCTTCCAATCTACACACTGCTCTTTGCTGCTGTCCCCATGAGGAGTGGGGGACAGGAGCTGCTTGGGCACTGGGTACTTTCACCCCTGGGTGGCCAAATGCCATGGCAGGGACCAGGGATCTCCATCCCCTTGGTCTAAACCACAGCCTGTCCTGGCTGCACGACCTCCCCATGTCCCATCCCATCAGCTCTGCTCTGGGAGGTGGCATCAGGGTGTCTCTGCCTGAGCTCCAGTTACGGCCAGCCCAGGCTTAATCCAGTTCCATGAGCAGATCCTTGTGCTGCCCCGGTGGGATCCAGCTGTCTCAGAACAGGGGGAGTAAGCTCCTGAGGGCTTTTCTGGCCAGGACCAGGTCTGCATGGGGTGAGTGGCTCCTGGCATCTCCTGGGGGGTTGATGGCCCTTGTGGGAGATGAGTTTGGAGGCTCTCAGCTCTGGGCCATCACAGACTTATCTCTAACACCATGGAGCAGGTCCTGTGCAGGGCAGGGTGGGGTGGGGGTGAGGGTGGGGAGCACCTCCCCAGGGCACAGACACATCATCAGCTGATAAATCTGTGCCATGGGTAACTCAAGGATGGGTGAAAGCAGGCTGAGAACAGAGAGTTGCTCCTAGGGCATCTGCCATGGCCAGGCTGAGCCTGCAGGTGGGAAGTGACATCCCGGTTCCCATTCCCAGTGACTGATGGGCACATCAGCTGCTCCAGAGCTGGGCAGGGACACAGCTTCCATTGTCCCCATGGCTGCATCCCTCACCCTATCCCCGGCATGGGCAGAACAAGCCAGAGATGTTGTACCAAGACATGGTGCCACCCGCACGGGGATGGCAGCTCTGAGTGAACACGTGGGAGGTGGCAGCACCCAGTGCTGTGCCAGGACCCCCCTGTCCCCCTTCCGAGCCCTGCAGGGACATCAGGCCCCCCTCCAGCCCTGCGGGCTCACCCGTCCCGCTGCGCCTCCTTCTTCTCCAGGTCCTGGATGACGTCCAGCAGCACACGGATGGTCTGTTGGCTGGTCTCCAGCACCCCTTCCAGGGACTGCAGCTGGGACTGCAGGTCCCCGCGCTCCCCGGGCCCCGCTCCCTGAGCTGTCCGCGCCTCCTCGTCCCCCGCGGGGGGCCCCTTGGTCACCACCACGAGCTGCAGAAGGTCCTGGACGTGGCGCAGCGTCTCTGACTGCTGCGGGGTGAGGCAGGCCCGGGGCAGCTCCGGTGCCCGCCCGGGCGGCTGCGTCCCAAGCGGCGCCCCGTGTCCCTGCGGTGCTGCGGAGCCGGGCCCAGGCTCGTTGCGGATGCCGCGGGGCTCCGGCCGGGGCAGTGCCGCGGAGGCAGAGCGGGGCCAGCCCTGCGCTGGTGACAGGGGGTCTGCAGAGGAGCAGCAGGGCCCCCCCCAGGGCGAGCCGCAGAGCTGGTGCTGGGGGGTCGGAGGAGTGCTCTGAGCTGGCTGGTGGAGGCCGGGGATGCCCGTGGCAGCAATGGTCGACGGGTGGTACGGCTGGGGCTGGGAGTGCCCCTGGGGCAGGGGCCGGGGATGCCCGAGGGGCTGGGGCTGCCCGTGGGGCAGGGGCTGAGGGTTCTCAAGGGGCTGGGGGTGTCCGAGGGACTGGGGCTGCCCATGGGGCAGGTGCTGGGGGTGTCCGAGGGGCAGGGGCTGGGATTGCCCGTGGGGCAAGGGCTGAGGGTGCTGGATGGGCAGGGGCTGGGTGTGTCTGAAAGACTGGGGTTGCCCATGGGGCAGGGGCTGGGGGTGTCCGTGGGGCTGGGGTTGCCCGAGGGTCTGGAGGTGCCCCCGGGGCAGGCTCCACTCTGAGTCGCTCCGGCCAAGTGCCCGCAGCTCGGCGGGCCGGGGCTGGCCGCAGGGCACGGATGCAGGGCGCGGGGTGGTCCCACGGCTCCCCCCGGGGCTCCTGCGGGGCCGGACACAGGCAGTGGGCAGTGGGCAGGCCTCAGGGACACAGCGGGCAGCGGAACACCCGGCCGTGCCCGGGACAGGGGCACCGGAATAGGGAAGGCTGCGGGGCTCCTGAGGGGTGGGCACGGAAACCCCTGGGCACCGGGGGCCAGCCGGAAGCACCGCGGCCCCGGGCACGTCGCAGATGCTCTTGCTACGGGGCTGAGAGGCCGTCAAGGGCTTGTGGAGGCTGGGGGAGGTCTGGATGGCCGTGCTCATGCACGCCCTGCGCGGCATGGGCAGCGTCAGCGAGCCCGGCTGGGCATGGGCCCGGCTCGGCGAGGCACGGAGAGGGGCGGCCGCCGGCTCAGGGGCGTCCCTGGGGGGCGGCGAGGCACGAGGGGTGTCGGGGCTGGGTGCTGCCGAGGGCTCCACGCCGCCCTCCACCAGGTCCTTGAAGCGAACCTGCTGCGTGCGGTTGCGGCGGCGCTTGAGGCGGCTCTCGATGTCGGGCGAGTCGCGGTTGAGCAGCACCGAGCGCACGGTCATGGCTTTGTCCTGGCTGCCCTCGCCCGCGGGCGCCGGGCTGGGCACGGGCTCCCGGCTGACCATGGCTCTGGGCCCCGGGTCCGGCGGCTGCAGCCGGGGCCGGGGGCAGCCTCATCCCGCGCCCGAGAGCCGGGGGGATGCTGCGCGGGAGGCGGGCATCGTGCCCCCAGCCCGGCCCTACGGGCCCCGACCCCCGGCAGCACCGCCCGTGGCCGAGCCCCCGCGCTGCCGGCCCCCCATGTTCGCGCTGCTGTCGCGCCGCTCAGTGCCGAGCTGCCCGCGCCGTCGGGTGCTGAACGTCCCTGCCCATGGCTCCGGACCTGCGGGGACACAGAGGGGTGCGTGAGTCCCCGTCCCAGCGCCGCAGCCCCCCGAGCACCGGAGCATTCCCCGCTGCTGCCGCTGGCCCTGCCCGCTCCCTGCCAGCCCCGTCACCAAACGCGAAGAGACAAGCTTTGATCTCCAGCGCTGCCTCTTCAGCACAAAGAGAAGGAAAAAAGAGAAACCCCTTTAGCATAAACACGTTCCAAGTTCACAGCTCAAATCAAGCAGAAGCGGCTGTTAAAAATAGCTCTGGCTCCGTGGGGCTGGTGCCTCGTGTGCTGGCAGCAGGACGGCAGCGTGGGGCAGGCACAGGGGCAACGTGTGGGATGGACGGACACAGGGTACCCACAGGGCACGAGGCACCAGGGTGTGGGGCACCCAAAGTGTGTGGGACATGGCTGGGGTGGGCACAGCACCCAGCCTGAGTGGGGCAGGACCACACTGGCCACAGGGGACCCGTCATGCATGAGACATGGTTGGAATGGGCATTGGGGACCCGCCGTGCATGAGGACATGTCCCTGGCCATAACCCCACCAGCACCAACCCCTTACTCCTGCCTTGCTCTGCCCCTGCCCACCCGGTCCCTGGCCTCTGCACCGGCTCCTCACACTGCTTCGGAACATGACACTGTGGGGCACACAGCAGAAGCCGTGCCTGCGATGTCCTGGGTGCGGAGGAGGCTAAGGAATGGCTCATTTCGGGAAGCAGCACCAGGAGTGGTGCCAGCCCCAGTGGACAGTGGTGCTGTTTCTCTTGGCCATTCAGTCTCCCAGCGTTCCAGAAACGCCAGAAGTACAAATGAGCACTGCGGGCTCCCTATGGCACAGACTTACCCCTTGTACCACACCATGTCCCGCATCCTGCATTCCGTAACCCCTGCCCCAGCCCACTGCTTGGCACACAATGAGGGAGCCTCGCTGGCTCTGCAGCCCCCCTCTGATGGACACATGGGGTCAGCCCCCCCCCCCCCCCCCCCCCCGCGGCGCCCCTCTCCTCTTGCCTTCCTGCTGTTCCAGAGTGCGCAGTGACCTGGAGTCACCCCGGTACCGACCCAGCTTCCTCCGTGCCGAGCAGCCCGGCTCCCGCACCCCCAGCCCTGCACTAGTCGGGATGCTGCTCCATGCTCCATGCTCCCTCCCGAGCCTGGAGCCGTGCCCAGACACGGGGAGTGTTTGTGAGGCCGGACGCGACGGAGACACGGGAGGGACGGGGCAGCTCGTTAGTATGGGCAGCAACGGGCGCAGGAGGGAGCTGGCGCGGGGATGGAGCCAGCGCTGCCCGCCCTGCTCCCCGCAACCCCGGGGGAGACGTGCCCTGCCCGTGGTGCCTGGCCGTGGATGGGGCCGTGCCAGTACCGGTGCTGCGCGGGGCTCAGTGCTTCCACCCTGGTCTCACATCAGCATTCCCAGCTGCAGCGGGGCAATGCACTGAGTGGCAGAGGGTCCGGCCCGCACGTTTCCAAGCTGGATGAGCCTCCTGAGCATGGATCGGGACCAGCACAATCAGGCTGAGCACTCCCCGGGGGCTGCCAGCGTGTGGCCAGCCTGCTCCAGAGCCTTCCCAACAAGAGCACTGACAGGCACAGGACAGAGGGAGCCAGGAACCTGCTCCAACGTCTGAGCACGGGCGCTCCCAGCAGGGTCCAGGCGCAGCCCCGGAGCCCGCAGCAGGGACCTCAGTGGCAGCAGAGCACATGAGGCTGTGCCATTGCCCACACAGCAAACAGGACGCTGTCAGTCACCCCCTGCCTCCCAAAGAGCACCACCAGGGAGAGCAGGGCTGAGCCACAAGGACAAGGAGAGAGTCTGTAAGTTATCTGTGCACTTAACTCCGTTTGGGAACAGCTCCAAGGATGTCAAACACCAAGAGCCAGGACCCTCCCTCTTGTCCCTGTGGGTGCTTTATGGTACACTGGGATTTGGCACCGCATCCAGGCACTATTTGCCATGTGCTGGAATCTTCAAGCTCTGGAAAGCCCGGCCATAAGACGGCATCAGGGCTCATTATCCCAACCAGTAGCTCCAGTACCCGATGGGCCACCCCATGCTGTAGCTGGGTCTGAGGAAACCGCTCTGCCTGGAAGTACAGCTCCAGGGTCATTCGGATGCACGGAGAGCCATGGGAAGCCCAGGGAACCAGCCCCCAGCCACACCAGCACATTCCAGTTGCCATCTTCAGGAACGTTTACAAGGAAATGGTGCTCTGCACCCCTGGGAAAACTCAGTACTGAGAACATGTGGGGTACCCGCAGCTGAGAGAAGGGCAAGAGAGGAAAAGGGTGAACACAGAGAAGGAGCAGGGAGGGGCGCTGGGCTGGGGGGGGGCAGCCAGAGGAGCCACTTCCTCACAGAGTGCGGCTGGGGCAGCCTGGAAGGGATTTGTTCCCTTCTGTGCCACAGCGGATGCTGCACCTCAGCAGGTTTTTAAGGTCTGAGTGGTTTTCTCCTGTCAGTTCCTATGGGAATGAGCGCGTGAACACGGTGTGACAGCAGGTCACATTAGATGATGTCGAGAGAAAACCAGGCAACACTGCTGCCGTGCAGGAGGTGACAGGAGCATTCAGTGGTGGGCTCCTGGGTTGAGGTGGGTGCTCAGTGCACTTGGGAACAATGTCTCCTCCACTGAGTGAGCCCCGGAGCCATCAGGAGCCACTTCCCATGGTTCCCATGACTCAGCCATGGCCAGCGCCAAACTCCAGCCCTCAGACAGCCCTCGCTGCCTGCAAACCCAAACTCTCCTCGGAGCAATGGGGATGTTCTGAACCACGCAGCAGCCACCCCCAGCCCAGAGCCTGCAGATCCATGAGCCTCCTGCACCACTTCCGATGCTGGGATCTCAAACCTGGTCCTGCATCACCAGCCCGGGCTGTGCCGGTGCACTGGCAGCTCCTACCCACAGCTTCCCCTTGGGAAGCCAATGGCTGGTACTGGCTGAGGGTGGTTTTTGAGAGGCAGGCACCAGATCTGCTGGGGTTTTGTGCCGAGACATCCTGTGAGGGCTGTGGGGTTGGCCTCAGAGGAAGAGCCCTGCTCCTCCTCCTCTGGAGCAGCAAGGCCCAGCCCAGCTCTTCCTCCTGACTCGATGGATGTTGATGTCCTGCAGCACAGACCAGCCAGGGCTGCGGGGCAGGTCCCAGGCAAGATCCAAGGGCAGGGCCATAGGCACTCACAGAGGTTCCGGCTGCCCCCCCCACCATGAACAACCCACCCATCCCTGGCCAGCTTTGCTCCCTTCTCCACCCATCCTCCACCTCCTGGCAGTGGCAGAGGGAGAACCAGGGCAGACAGATAAATCTTCCCCTCAGGACGCAGGAAGCCGAGAGATTTATGAGAGGAAGTCAGATTCTCCTGGAGCTGAGAAGAGCTGATTGCCCGTCACCACTGCGGGTGCAGCGGCTTTCCTGGGATGGAACCTTTGCTCTTCCCCATCTCTGGCAAGGAGAAAGCTGCCACTGACGATGGGCAGGGGCGGCACTGGAGGGCGAGGCGTTTGCTCTCAGCAGAGGCCAAGCAGGAGCCGGGGTCACCACCCCGCACTCAGCAGCAGAGCTTAATCCCGCCTTGGCTTCGGAGCACTCGGCGCGATTGAACTCGTGTTGGAGCAACTGCGGGACTCAAGGACTCGGGGCCTCTCCTCGGGGCAGGTCACAAGCCCCAGATCTGGCTCCTCACTGAGGAAGCTGCTCCATGAAGCCAGCTTATGCCCTGCCCTCGTGGTTCTCTTGGAGGCTCTTCCAGACCCCGGCTGCTCACAAAGCATCACAGACCCCCAGCGTCCTGCAGGCACTGAGTCATGGCCCTTTATATCCGACTGTGCTCATGCCGTAACAGCGCCTGTGCCTGAGCAGCTCAGACCCTGTGCCGAACACATCCCCTCTCCGGCTCCCCCTGGCAGTGCTCACCCCATCCAGCCCTGTTGTGTCCCCAGGGCCAGCTCCTGGTGTCCCCTGGTCCTCGCTCCACTCCTGCTCCACTCGAGCTCCTCCCTCACGTCACTGTCCAAGGCAAGGGAGGTGTTGGCTCTGCTCAGAGAGCCTGGGGCTCCCTGGAAGCACTGGGCAGAGGGCGGCAGGCACAGAGCCCTGCACCCCAGCACCATTGCCCAGGGTCACGGACACACGGGTCCCCCTGCACCCGCTGGCATGAGCTAGGACTCGCTTGCTCCTCTATTTAGGTCACAGGCTGAAGGGCTCTGTGAGAGAATCAGTCACTCGCTGCCATGGGCCCAGGAGGAGGCTCTGGGAGCTGGGACCCCCATCACCCACCCCTGCAGCAGCAGCACCCTGCGGGCACCTCTCCAGGGCTGCTGCATCCTGGGTAATGCCCCGTGGAGGGATCCGTCAGTTAGGGAAGAGCAGCATCCTCCTCCGGGCACACAGAGGTCATCGGCTCTGCTCCCTTTCAACTGCAGCGATGCTGGTGCTGTCAGATGGAGACTTCACATGGTCGGTCAGGAGACACAGTGAAGTGCACAAAGCTTTCAGAAGCCAAATGATTCCTCTTCCATGGATGCTAATACAGCTGTGATGACAGCTCTCACTGCTACCCGCTGGCGTTCCCACCTCTCCCTGCCAGGCAGAGGAGCACCGGCACCACCACTCTAAGTGGGACATGATGAGCTGGGGTGACCTTCCCCTGGGAATGCGGGCAGGCCGTGGCAGGGAGCCCTGGGAGCCGGTACCCAGCAGGAGGCTGTTGCCTTTGAGCCCCAGGGCTCCACCTCGGTGAGTGCCCCTTGCAGTCTGCAGCAGCCGCTGGGGTCCAGCATCCACAGAAGAGACCACGGCAGGAGGATGGAAACACCCTTGTGGGCTGTGTCCTTCCAGAGAACGCGGCGTGGGCTCTGTTAATGTTCCTCATTGTCCTGGAGACCCCTTGTGCTGCAGGACAAGGGAAAATGCTTGACCTGGAGACCCAGCCTGGAGGGCAGCTGGTGCCCAGCAGTGGAGCACATGGGCTCCGCCAGCACCTGCAGCACGGGCTGCTCCTGCAGCGACTGGAGGGTGAGGGAAATAGGACATGGCCCAAACAGTTCTGGCAGAAGGAGACACAGCTCATGGAATCACAGAGTAGAATCAGAATGGTCTGGTTGAAGGAACCTTAAAGCTCCTCCAGTTCCAACCCCCTACCATGGGCAGGAGCACTTTTCACTAGAGCAGCTTGCTCCAAGCCCTGTCCAGCCTGTCCATCACAAGAGCAGCTCCATGCTCTCCTGGGGAGGCACATCCCACCTCTCAGGGGGTGGTGCCCGGGCCCTCATCTGAGCGAGAGGAGCAGCTGCCAGGACAGGAACACGACAGAGCGGGACTCGGTGTGCTCCTGCACGTGCCAGGAATCCCATTGGGAGCCACAAGCTGTCCACAAAGCACATCTATGGAACAAGCTGGAACGGCTTCGCCACCAGGCAGCTCCCAGAGGCAGCTGCACCACCACAGTCAACCCTGTGTGCACCAGTCCTGACTGCAGGGGCTCAGCCCTGGGTGCAGGCAGGGACACCCTGTCCCCCCATCAGCCTGGTCCTTGCCATGGGGCAGCCCCTGTTCCCCTGCCGGCCTGGTGCTGCCCTGGGGAGCCCAGCCACGGTGCTGGCCCGGGCGCAGGAGCCGCTGCAGCTGCAGCCTCCCGACACAGAGCAGGAGAATGTCCTCTCGGAATACAAATTCCTGCCTTCAAGTGGATGTTCAATGCAGGCGCACAGGTCTCCGTGTGCTTCAGACAACGCCACTACCAGGGGAATTCAGGAATTAGAGAGTGCTTTTCCTCACCCTGTGCCTCGGTTTCCCCACCCAAGCAGTTGGGAACACACGGACCATTTCCATAGAGACACAGGACAGACCCTGTCCAAGAGCACTGCTTAGCATGGCAGTAGCATACTTACTACAGACAGGAACAGACCCACTAATTATTTGTGGCCTCTGGATGCTACCATACCATTAAATAATTACAATAATTATAATTCATAGAGAAGATAACCTCAGTCTAAAGGAGCTTCTGTGGTTAAATCCACTCTGAGTGCACAGCAGGGACCAAACGCTTCCCATGGAAAGGAAGCACCGGCAATGGATGATGGGTGCCAGCCTGAGCCCGGCTCTGCCCGGGGGTCACCTCCGCGGCCCCTCTCCTCGGGCAGCACTGGCAGGGAAGGACATGGCCGGGGGCCCCAGCATCCCTTGTCCCCTGGGAGGTGCCAGGTGTGGAGACCACCGTGAGACCTGTCCCCATGCAGGCACACACTGCAAAGCCAGGTCCCTGCAAAGCCGGGTCCTGGTGGTTACTCACACGTGTCCAGCTCATGCTCCTAACAGATGAGCTCCATGAAGACCTTCTCCAGGCTCCTCTACAAGACCCCACAGCTCTAACCGGGTTTTGCATGCGCTCCCATGGGGACAAGAGGGACTGGAGCAGCCCCGAGAGCTTCACCTTCCTGTGTAACCGTCAGCAAACAAGGCTGTGCCTGGCTCCACTGCCAAAGCCCCACCAGCAGCCACCGAGGCCTTGACCACAGAACACGGTGCTGGGAGCTGCTGGGAGCAACATGGGCTGAATCCCTCCAGCGTGAGCAGCCGGCGTCAACGCAGCGTGTGGTACCCAAAGTGACATCCCTGGGATCGTGCGTGTGCGTGTGTCACCCATACAGAGCCCTGGCTGATGGACGTGTCTCCTAACAAGGGGGAGCCGAGCACCAGCAGAGCGAGATCCCACATCTCCTGCATGGAGCTGCCGGGCGAGCGGAGCTGCCACAGCCGAGCAGCAGCGCAGGGACGCGACCCCGGGTGTCCTCACCCCTCTGACACGCGGATCTCAACGCAGATTTACCTCCCTCGGCTGCACCCCACGCCGCTGCCACCAGCACGCTGCAGCCCCCCGGACCCCAACCATGGTGGCCCGCGGGGTGAGGGGTGCCCGGCACGGGGTGTCCGGTACCACCGGCGCCCCGCACTGCCCCGGGGCAGCTCCTGCTCGGGCCGAGGAGGGGGGAACCCAGGAGTGCTGCGACCTCGGTTGCACGGGGCGGCCGAGGCCGCTCGGGGCCGGGCACCGCGCACCGGCGAGGGGGGCGAAACGGGGCACCGCGGATCCATCCCCCTCGCTCCCCGCCAGGCTCCTATCTCCGGCCGCACCGGGCACCGCGCACCCCCGGGCCGCTGCCCGCACCGCCGCGGGGTTCCGGTGTCGGGGCTCCCCGCACTGATCCGCGGTTCCTGGCCCCGGGATCCCCCCCCCCCGGTTCCCGCACCGCGTGGGGTCGCGGTCCCGGCCCCGGTGCCGCCGCCGCGGCTCTCCCGGCTCACCGAGCGGGGCCGCAGGGCCGATGCCCGCCGATGCCCGCCGAGCGCAGCCCGGCCCGGCCCGGCCCGGCCCGCCCCGCTCCGCCGCTCCCAGTCGCCGGGCCCCGCGTCCCAGCCCGCCCCGTACCTGGTGCTCGGCGGCGGCGGCGCTGGTCGGGCAGCAGCGGGTGCCGGGCACGGCGGGGCGGGGCGGAGCCGCGCGGGATCGCCGGTACCGGGGCGGAGCCGCCGGGGAGGAGCGAGGCGGGGCCGGGGGCGGGGCCGGCGGGACGCGGGGGCCGGGATGCCCGGGCGGGGCGGAGCGGCCGGGAGCGCGGTACCGGTATCCTTGTACGTGCCCCGGGCAGCGGGGGCTCCACATCCGCACCTGAGGGCAGGGAAGGGACCGGGCCCCGGGGGGTGCGAGCGCCGTGGCCGGTGCGGTGCTCGGGGCCGAGCACACGGTGGGGCAGAGCCCAGATTCCCTCCGCCATCACCGGTGCAGGCAGCGTGCCCGTGGGCGGTGGGACCCCACTGCGGCGAGTCTCTGTGGGAGAGGAGCCTCCCCCGGGGTAGCAGAGACCCTCTTCCCCAGCTGGGAGCCGGTCTTGCCGGTGGTCCTAGCGGTGTCCCGGGGCTGCACCCCTGCCTGTACACGAGAAATGGACCCCAGAACCTCGGTGAGGTGCAGCAGTGGCTGCACAGCCTGGCTCTGTCAGCAGGAAGCAGCCCCAGCTCCCACCGTGAGGTCCTCCCGAGACCGGGGCTCCGTGGCATCACACACATGGATGCTCAGGGACCATTGGCGGGTTTGTGGCAGCACTTTGCCGGTGTTTAGCTTGCAGTGAGGACATCCCCCACTCCCGAGTGAGTCCTGGAGCAGGCCAGGACTGAGGAGGAGGGAGTGATTCACCTCCAGCTTCGACGGCAAGTTGGACTTGCTGGGGCTTGGGTGCCTCTGCAGGATCCCTGCTGTGCCTGTGCGGGTGCCCTGCATGGAGGTGCTGCTGGCGCTGCTGAGAGCCTTCAGCAGGGAGCCTCAGGTCTGTGCCTGTGCCTCCACCCTCGTGCTCAAGGACTGGGACCTGTTGGGCTTTTATCCATTTGCTTCTCACAAGATAGCTCCCCGCGTATGTCCAGGGCTGTGATGCGGTGCTCCTGTGCTCACCCCTGCCCTTCCCTGGGACCAACCCAGCCCCACTGCCTGTGGGATGCCAGCATCCTGGCCCTGGCAGGGCGGTGATGTTGGCAGTGGCAGCTTTGCTGTGCTGCTGCATGCCCGGGGATGCTCAGACTCCTACAATGCCACTTGAGGGCTCGGAGCTGCTTTGTGCACACACACACACAACGGTGACCCGTGGCTCTGACCTCGGCTTTCAGGCTTCAGCTGCTGCTCAGTGCCCTGAGGAGTTCCCTGTAGCTTTATCCCAGGAGCAAACCTATCACAGACTCATCCACGTTAGAGGCATCGTGAAGAAAACGTTGCTGTAATGAACAGGAGAGGAGCCGCAGTGGGAGCAGCACCTGGGCCTCTGGTTCATGAGAGCAGCTGAGCAGCGTGGGGGTCAGGCATGGGCCCTCTCATCCTGCATTCAGGAATGCTGCTCAGCCGGTGCTGCACCTCCCGACAGAACCGTGAGCACCCAGAGCAGGAGTGGAGTTAATGACTCAATATGGGACCCTTTGCCAGGGGCACTCCAGACACATCAGCCTCCGGAATGGAGCTACTTGTGTTTCAAAAGGCCCTTCCATCCACACAGAGCCTTAAATTGCTTAAACGTTAGAAACTATCCACAGTCAAGGTGCAGCTGGGGACCCTGTCTGCACAAGCAGCACGGCACCGTCCCACCCCTGGAGGCTGTGAGGGGCTGGCAGAGGAAGGGCTGGCTGCAGGAGATGGGGCTCAGTGTGGCAGGAGAGATGTGGAGAGCCAGGGAGGGGGGGACCATGAGGGACCCCCAGGGCAGCCAGGGGTCTGGGGTACAGACCGGCTGGAGGAGTATGGGCAGGCATTCGGAACCCCCCATGGTGCCAACCATCGGATCCCATCCCCAGTACACCCCTTCAGTGGCAGAGAGGGAACCCCACCCCCAGCACACCGATGGGACCCCAGCAGTGTCTGACCAGCTCCTGTCCCACAGAGTCACTATGTGGCCTGCATGGCTGCCATCCTGAGCCAGATGGACATGGAACATTACAGATCTTACATCAAGGCGTTCCCCTCCCGGGCCGAGCTGATGGTGAGTGCTGCCCCATGCAGTGACCCGGGCCCTCCATCACCGGCAACCCCCTGCCTCTCCACCCTATGTCTTGGCTGGGGTGTCCCACTGGTCCCAGTGCCTGTACCTGGGCACCCAGCACTGGTGCCACCCACCCCTGGGTGCTCATCCCTGCTCCATGGAGGTGAAGCTGGTGGGTGGTGAGGCTGCTCCAGCCCCAGCGTCCAGCACAGCATCACCTGGGAGGGTATCGTGGTCGAGCCCAGCTCTTGACATCTCCTTCCCACCAGGATTTCCTCATGGAGACCTTCATCCTCTTCAAGGACCTGATTGGCAAGGCAGTGTACCCGTGCGACTGGATGGTGATGAGCATGGTGCAGAATCGGTGTGGACCCCTGACCCATGGGGGGATGTTGGACCTGGGGTGTCTCTGGGGTACAGGGTACCCAGACACTGGAGCACGGAGCCTAAAGCTCACTCAGCCCCCTCCAAACACCTTCAGCACTCTGGGTCCAGTTCAGGGCAGCTCCAAATGCCTCCTGCTCTGCCCTGGGACAGTGCAGCCCCATTGCAGCCCTATTGGTGGGCTTTGGGGCTCCCGGGGAGTGGGGAGCTGTTGCTGGACACCTGATGGCATCAGTGGGGATGCCACTGGGCAGGACTGGTGCAGCGGCAGCATCGGGCCCTGCCTGTGGCACTGGGACAGGCAGAGCCACTGACCCCAGCACCCACAGGGAGTTCCTGCGCACCATCAACCAGTTTGCCTCCACCTTGACCGAGATGTTCCTGAGCGAGGACAGCTTCGAGCTACAGGTGAGGGCGCTGCTCCAGCCCAGGGCGAGGGGACCCCGTGTGTCCCCAGCTCTGCCCCCACCCCTTGTGCCAGCTCTGCCCTGTCCCCACTGCAGCTTTGGAACAATTACTTCCACTTGGCCGTGGCTTTCCTGACCCAAGACTCGCTGCAGCTCGAGAACTTCTCCCAGGCCAAGCGCAGCAGCATCCTGGCCAAGTGAGTTGCCCTCAGCTCCTCCGGCTGCCCCTGCCCTGCCGCAGCACCGTGGGGCTGGGCTCTGCAGCTCCACTTCAGGCGGCTGCCATGCTGTGGGGCTGGGATTTGGGGTGAGCCGGTTGGGCTGTACTTGGATCACATCCTGCTCGGGGTGCTGACCAAAGCTGTCCTGGCAGGTACGGGGACATGAGAGCCACCATTGGAGCGTCCATTCGGGACATGTGGTACAACCTTGGTGAGCGTGGCATAGCCATGGGGGCTTGGCGAGGGTCTGGTGTCTGGTGGTCACCAGCATGGCCCCTGGAATGGTGCTGGAGGGTGGCATCGGGGGCTGCAGGCATGAGCAGGGTGTGCAAGCCGGCAGGGATGAGGCTTGGCAGGCGTGAGCCTGGAGGATGCTCTGGGATGTGCAGGGTGGGATGCGTGAGCCGGGGGATGCTCTGGGATGGGCTGGGTGGGATGTGTGAGCCTGTGGGATGTGCCATCTGCAACCAGGCAAAGCTGTGGTGCGTGAGCCCCCAGCACTGTGATCAGCTGTGAGCCCTCACTCCCTGCAGGCAGCCTCCCCAATCTGGGTTGGTGTCTGCCTGCAGCATGGCCTTCCCATTCCCAATCCCAGGCCCCCGCAAGATTGAGTTCATCCCGGGCATGGTGGGCCCCATCCTGGAGATGACGCTGGTGCCGGAGCCAGAGCTGCGCAAGGCCACCATCCCCATCTTCTTTGACATGATGCTCTGCGAGTACCAGCTCACCCGCAGCTTTGCCCGGGTGGGTGCCTGGTGCTGGACCCTGCTCCTCACAGGGCAGGGGAACAGGGACCACTCAGTGCAGGGGGGTCCTTGGGGAAGGGGCTGCAGCGGCTGAGCCTGAGGCTGTTGGGAGCCTCCTGCCCCAGTGCTGCAGCTCCACGGCCCCAGCCCTGCCCATCCCAGCTCCCAGCACTGCTCACGTACATCTCTGCAGTTTGAGGATGAGATCCTGCGGCAGTTGGACACTGAGGTGGAGGGCGGCCGCGGGGATGAGCAGTACAAGCAGCTCTTTGAGAGCATGTGAGTGTGCCCCCCTGAGCCTCTGCTGTCCTCCTGCCCCACACTGCCTCAGCCAGCCTGCTCCTCACTGTGCTCTGAGCTGGGGCAGGACTTAAGGGGAGGAAAACTCCTGCCCCGGCATCATCGTGTGCCCTTTGCACACCACTGCTGCCCAGGCAATGCTCCTGCCCCAGCAATGTTCCTGCCCTACCCAGGCCTTGCTCCTGCCCCGTGATGCCCATCACAGATCCCTGTGCCAGGCAGATGAATCTCTCAGCTCTCTCCCTATGAGCACACTTTGCTCTCTGTTCCTGCTGCCCCTCCTGCCCCCTCTCCCCCGCCCCAGCACAAGGAGCGGGGCTGGGGCTGAGCACAGTGCCCCTGTCACCCCCTGCCCTCCCCAGCCTGCTGAGCTGCTGCCAGGCGCACCCCGAGCTGGCCGAGCCCGGGCAGAGCTTCGTGGCACTGGTGACGGGGCTCCTGGAGCGGCTCCTCGACTACCGGGCCGTGAGGAACGACGAGAACAAAACCTACAGCATGAGCTGCACTGTTAACCTGCTGGTGGGCACCTGCCCCGTGCCTCCGCCCCGGGGCTCAGCCCCATGCCCCCCCCGTCCCCTGGCACAGCAGGGATGCGGTGTGCCCGGTGCCAAACCCGGGAGGTACCTGCTGGGAGGCACCTCCGGGTCCGAGCCGATGGGGAGCGGTGGCACATGGCGGGTGGGGGGGGCGGTGGCACCGGCCCCTCCCGGGGCCGCTCAAATGGCCTCGTGCGCTCTTCCCAGAACTTCTACAAGGAGATCGGGCGCCAGGCCATGTACATCAGGTGAGCGCGGCCGGCGGAGGTCCCGGCGCTGCCCCTGCTCGGCCCCGGGGCACGGGCGGGGACGGCGGAGCTGCCGCGGGGCGGGTGCGGGGCTCCGGGTCCGGAGCCCACCCGCGGCCCGCTCGCAGGTACCTGTACAAGCTGCGGGACCTGCACGTC